ATAATAAATAATTTTAATTACATGTTTTTAGTTTTTTTTTTTAAATCTGAAACTCCATTTGTACGTCAACAGTTTTTGCATCCTACACTGTTGAAAGTTATTACCCACATAAAAATAAACTTCAAACTTTTATTGAAACACTTGTCGGCGAGAGAAAAAAGAAATATTTCGTTCTGCTAAATGAAATTTAATGTCGTTAACCCCATGTTTGACCAACATTTTTAGTTGCACCCAAGCCGAGAGGTGTCATGCAAATCCATAAAAGATTATGCTCAAGATATTTTTTGTTTTTCTTTTTTTTACTTTCTGTGGGTTTTTTGGTAATTTCGAGAGAAGGAAAATTGCGTAGGAGATGTTCTTAAATTTGTGAGAGTGTGCAATTTATTTATTAAATAGAAATACAAATCTTTAGAAAACTATGGCTGAAAGAAATAAGCGTAAATAGTAAGGAAAGGAATAAAGTCGGACTCGTTCGACTATGTGATATCTTACACCACTTTAGATATAACAAGAGGTGATTTAATAATCTTATTTTTACAGATAATAAATTATATTTGTTTGATGAGTTAGGATCAAATTATATATGGAAGCCATGCTTAAATTTGAACCGATTTAAAGTACCCTTGACTAGCGTCATTCTACACATAATTAGAAAGTATATGCCAAATTTCATCTCCATCGGACAAAAGTAGGGTATTTGGAAAAACATTTATATGAAATCTGTCAAAATTGTGTAAAAATTTTAAACTTGGACCTCCACAAACCCGAAATTCAAAATTACTGCCACTTTGACGGAAAACTTCTGCTAAAACCTTTCAACTAACGAAGAAAATCGAAAGGGGCCTATATAATGTCAAAATGTGGAACTATATTGAAAATATTTTTATCAACCTCTAAAAACTTGGAACGCCGAGTTAAAATGTTTTGTTGGAGCATACGCATAGGATCATGGAAATACTGAAAAGTGGAGTGTGGAAATGGGACTTATGATAAATATTATAAACAAGGACATTCTTCCACAGACAAGTATATTATATTTTTTGGACAAATCCAAAGGATCTTCTTCTAGAGAAGATAAAATATTCTTCTTCATCCAACAATCTAAAAAAGACCAAATGTTCTTGTGAAATAGAAAACAAAAGGGTAATCTTTCATAGGTAACCAAAGTGTCATCTTCCATAGATGACCAATGTTAGTAAATTTTCAAATCAAGTTTTCCTTAACACACTTGTTCCATTTTGTTCGCATGACGCAAAACATATCACATTCGTATTGAACACATTCCCTTTTCGCCCTTTCTCTTAGAATTATTTCTAAGATTGATCAAAAAACGGTCATTCAATTGATTTCAAATTGCACCACAATCCATCAATGGCCAACGATTTCATTAATGGCCTATTACAACGAAATAAAGATTTACAACAACAATTTATAACATTACAAAAATGGACTTCGAATCCTTAAAATTGTTTGCCTTTCAAAGGGCCGTCGTTACGCCGTTAAAGCTATAAATGCACTGGAAAATGAATAAAATTGAATTACAAACATTTATAACTGTTTTCATAGCCTCTTCTTCCTCTTCTTCTTCTGTGTTTTGTTCGCATTCACACTCACATCAATCCACTGGTGTCACAACGGCACCCGAACCGACGGATACACTTTACAAACGCAGCAATGACTGATCGTTTTGATGCGGACATAGACTCCAAGTTTCTTGGCTAATGACACAGTCATTTTAAATCTCCACGAAGTCGTACTATTCATTTCCGGTTTGTTCGCATCCTTTAGTCGGTTATTGCATAATTTCCGTTTGATGAAACATATTTAGCTCTTTGCCGTTTGTCCCTCGTGTCGCGCTAGAAGCCTTTCGTAATATTCCAGCAGCGGCAGCAGTAACAACGAAATTAAGATACAGGACGGACCAGTCAACTCTGACAATTGGCAGCAATGAAAGCATGCAACGAATGCGTTTTGTTCTCTTTTTTGTGTAACTGGCCTTATGTGGTGCATCGTTTTTTTTGTTTTGTTTGGTTTTTTTTGTTGCCCCGAATGACAAAAAGAGTCACTGAGTCCATAATGCAGTTTGGTCTGTCCATTGCCTCTGGTTATGGGTTGAAGTGTCGCTCCGATTTTTTATTTCTTGTTTTGTTAAACGCAGCATATAAAAGATTCCGTTCCTTTATTTTTGTCATGAAAATCAATTTGAAAAGGAAATTAAAAGGGAAGCATTTCAAATTGCTGACAATAAAATTGACGAAGAAGAAGACGTTGTTGACGATGAAAATCAAATATGGAAAGAGAATTTTTTATTAATAGAAAAAATGTTGGACATTTTTGAAATGCATTATAATAATAATTATAATAATTTTTGGACAAAAATCAGAATTGTTAATTTATTCTCATCATCGAAAATGTATGTTAAATTTTATATGAAGGTTATTTTGCCTAATATAAAAACATACATTTGGAAGATTGTTTAAAAAATGTGTCATCATTTGAAAATTTTCTATTAAAGGAAATGTTTCATGTTTTAAGGAATCATCTGAAAAAAGACCTATGCTTCATGCTCTTCTACACATACTTTAAAAAACATGGAATAATGTGACATTTTTCTGATCTTGTATATGTAAATTTTCAAGAAAATGTTCATGTTTTCGTTAAAATAAATGCTCATGCTCTTCTACAAATACTTTAAAAAACACATTTGTGACTTTCATAAGAATAATATCTGGTCTTATATTTAAGCTGGGTCTAGAAGGGATATCCAAAGCATTTTTGTGATACCCGTACCTCTGTAATAATAGTTTTTAGTTTTCCATATGAAGTAGTTTTGTATTCTGTAAAAAGAAAGTTGGGTTCCTTTTTCGGCATTCTTCAAGAATACATTTTGGTCTTCCATAAGAATACCTTTTGTTCTTCTTTTAGATGCCATTTGGATTATAGACGATCCATATCATTCGATATCCCATAAGAAGGTTTTTTTGGTCTTCTATAGGTAGAAAATGTCATATGCTAATAGAAGACGACTTGGCATTCAATTTGAAAATCTTCTGTGGAAATAATCCTTCTACAGTGATATCTGATATTTTATAAATCTGAAGATCCATCATAATGGACTTTGCGATTGTCTCTGTTGAAAGTTCTTCTGTTTTTATATAGAATACCCATAGGCCTTTGGAAACTTGATATTCTCAGTAGTATCCCGTTTAGATTTTATATTGGCTTTTTCGACAGATATACATACGAGGAAAGTTCTTAGTCAGCACAAAAAGCGCGGTATACACAGAAAAAAGTTAAGTGTTTTGGAAACTTCCATCTCTGTTATGAACACATGTTTAATTTTGTTTTGATCTGGCAACTCCTTCAGATATAAACAGGTGCTCAAAAAAGACTCATTCGCAATTGTTTTTTACAATGAAAGTATGCATTTCTAATTCTTCCATGGCAAAAAATTGCGGATGCGACTTTTTTGAACACCTATTTCTATATGAAGCAGGCAAGATGGAGGCAAGACGATGTGTACCTTCCCATCGCATATAAAGTGCTATCTAGCGGGCTGTGTGAACAATTGAAGCCAATGATCAATTACATTAATGGACCATACCATATCCACCATCGACCAAATTTTTATACTGCGCCAAATCCAGGAAAAGACCCACGTCGTCAAATATAAAGCCGCATTCGATATCCCTATCCGCTTTAAAGCCATGTCTGCATTCGTGTAAATAAATACGGAAAAGATTTCTCATAGCCCTTCAATACCGAACAAGGGTTCAGCCAAGGTGACAGCCGATTGTGTGACCTTTTTAACATCCTGGGTTATACGAGATGCAAAGGTGAACAGAAAAGGCACCAAACAACACATATTACTCGCCTACGATGACATCCACATAATTGGTTGAACATTGCGAGCATAGTCAGACGTATCGAGCTGCAACGACCGTGGTGGTTATGCCATGTTGTGCGAACGGATGAATATGCTACAGCTCAAAATGCATATAAAACCGAGCCTACTGATGGTTCACGCCGATGGAGAAGATGGAAGGATGAAGCGGATGATAACATATCGAAACGTGGCCTTTCGAATTTGAAAAACTGCACACAAGATCGATCCGCCTGGAAATCTTTTCTAAACACGGCTTATTGAACAAATGTTCTGTCGCGAGCCATCTAAGTAAGTAAGTTCAATCGAAGAGTTGATCATCTTCGGAGAGGTGGCAGAAGTAGTTAGCCATCGTAGGATTTAATTTTACGATTTGCAAAGTTTGAATCAAATTAGACTTTCCATTATCCTGATGTTGAATAAACAAATTTTCAAAATTTTGGAACATTGTGGGGGTAATAAACATTTTTGCTGCTTAAATTATAAATTATGTTTAGCAAAATGTTGATCATGAACTTGAGCAATGTTTGGAAGAAATATTACGATACGCAAAGTTTGAATGAAATAGGTTACACCTTTCGAGAGCTATCGTGTGCGCCACAAAATTAAGACCAATTTTTTTTTTTGCCATATGGCTGGGGTTAAAAAACTGTAAGGCGTTTCAAAAGTATTTTTTTGGTTTTATGCAAATTTTCCCGAATCCTAGTTGCAAATTCCAATTTTTCAGCTTTTCATATTTTAGAGTTGCAAATGTTCTTGAATACATTGAAACCTTTTTATTTGGCATGTAACCTTCATTACCACCACACTGTCACTATGTAGATATATCATAAAATCTTAATATTCTATTATAAACATTCAACGCTGACTATTATTAATGAATGAATCAAAAATTAACGTATTTTTATGTTCTATTTTACACTTCATTTTCAATGGCGGTAATACCCTGCCGCCATCCGTGCAACGTTAACATTTAACTGCTTGGCCGTAAACTGATGGTGGTGCTGTGCATCGTTTTAATGTTGACATTTAATTATCATACAACCTACCAACCAACCAACCCAACAATGTTTGGGTTTGGGTTGCATCAAACAATATTGCATTTTTAAAGACTTACACTGAATGCATCCAAATCGGCATCCCGCCGCTCCGATATTTGCTTGAGCACGCCCACATTGATTAAATTGTTGCAATACTGCAGTGTCAGTGTGTTGATGTCCTGTTCGCTGAGATGGCCATTGCCATTGTTCTGCAGTGATGATATGAACCATTTCATGAGCATTTGACCTGGAATTGAAAGAAGTAGATAGTTGAAAAGAAGAATAAAAAACATTAGAAGATAGTAACGACGGATGGATGAATGATTAACATTGTCGGAATCGGGTGATGGCCTTACTTAACTTGAAAGGTTCACAGAATAGAAACAAAACGTCCATCATTGTTGTTGTTGTCGAGATTTGCAGATGAAATGAAGTGAAATGATAATGATCAATGAAGGGAGTGTGAATGACTGACTGGCTGACTGAAAGACTGGCGAGTACTGAAATGAATGTGGTCTTCATTTCGTTCTGGCTGCATAATCGTTGTGTGTGTGTTTTTGTGTGTTTCTATGGAATTATTGGTGAGGGGAAGTGCAAGTATTTTTAGAATATTGATTTTATTTTCGAGAGCGAGTGTTAGTTGTAGCTGAGGCACCCTACATGTAGGTCAATATATGTTAGATGATAAACAGAAAAAAACATGATTTATTAGATGTAAGTGTGAAATATGCTCAAAAAGATGAACAGAAAAAAAGGCATTCAAATGGATATTCGGTATATGTAATTTTAGTTGTATCCCATTAGTTAACAACCTGCTGCATGCTTTATAAAAATATAGCGCCCACAACAAAGTCGTATAGACTCCATGTATCCATGTTGTCATTTGTTTTAACGTCAAAATGACACTACAACGGCAGGAAATAAATTTAAATTCAATTTTGTCGTGTGTATGTATTATTTGTTGATAGAGTGGGTGGGAAATTTGGTACGGCATGCGTGCATCTTAGAGATATCGACATCAGAGATGGAAAAATAAAGTACTGTATAATCATAATTTAGTTACTGGCGATTCATGGATATATGCTAAGGGACCAGAAAAAATAGAAATCGACTTTTTAGGTCATTGCAGATGGGCCAAATACAACGAAAGTTGTACGTTGAAGATTTTATTCGTCGTTTCATTGTCAAAAGTGGTCGGTGGTCTGTTCCGTTTGAGAAACGTGGTGGGTCAATTTTGAGTGGTACATCACAATTATGTTGTTTAAACTTTTCGGAAGAAGCCTAAAGCGAAAAATGGCTATGCGATCTCTCCCACAGAAGCTCAAAACGGTACAGCCAACCATTGATATTTTTATTCCCACACACAATTTGTTGACTCCGTGGTCAACAATTTTCTTCGGCAGAAGATTTCAAAATTATGTTTTGGTGATGGAAAATCAATAAAATTTCCACCATACTTAAGTTTGAGAAAATATTATGTGCGATTTTGTTGGAGAAGTACGAAAGGGTCTTGAACAAGTGTTGTTAATAAATTACAATGTACATCAGATACTCCATTCCTTTAAATAGAATTTTAATGGTTCGAATCTACACTAATAAATCCAAAATTTATGAAAATGTCGATAAGATATAGCCGATTTATTGTGTCAGCATCAAGTGACGTCTAAAGGGCTTCTCAAACTTTAAACGCGTTAAAAATGGTGGCACGATAACTCAAAAACTAATAACCCAATCGATTCCAAATTTTTAAACGTTTCTCAGTGTTACACAAACTAGGATAAAAATGAAGAACTTCCTTATTTTTTAACTTAGTTTTTGGTCAAAAATCGGCGATTTTCCAAAAATATTTTTTCAAAGGTCCGCCATTTTGTTAATTTTAGAGCGAAGTCAATAATCCAAGTTCATACGAGATCGAATGTACTCTTTCTAACACCGTTGGAATTTTCGATTCCGAGTTCCATTGAGGAAATCGGCCATCAAAAATAAGGACTTTTCTTTAGTTACAAAAACAACAACAACACAATTTTTTTGAAAAATATTTTTCTTCTCCTTTACATCTTCAAATATATATATGCAAAGTTACATACCTTAACAAGCGTTGGTATTGATTTACCAGCCCTTTGAAAATCTTGAAAAATGAAAATCGAGAATGGGTGGGGTTCCCTTAACAGAAAAAATAGGATGGATCGAATATCCATCTGCGAAGCCTTGGCCAAACGGAATGAGATAGATCCATTTCTTAAACGGATGGTGACTGGAGATGAGAAATGGGTCACATACGATAACACTGTGCGAAAAGCGGGGAAGCACGTCAAACGGTGGCCAAATCAGTTCTGCTATGCATTTGGTGGGACTGGAAGGGAATTATATATTAAGAGATCAAACTCTACTGTCAGCAACTGGACCGTTCAAAGATAACAACTGACTAGAAATAGACCAGAATTGGCCAACAGGAGAGGTGTCGTGTTCTACCAGGACAACGCTAGGCCACACACATCTACAGTGACTCGCCAGAAACTTCGGGAGCTTGGTTGGGAAGTTTTAATGCATCCGAATTACAGTCCGGACTGGCACTGGGAAGCGATTATCATCTTTTTCTTGAATTCCCAAAATTTCTTTAATGACAAAAATTTTGTATCTAGGGAGGATTGTGAAAATCGAAAATCGGCAACAATTCACAAATCGGACATTCCGAAGCATGTTAAATAAAGTTCTATAGTTCATATAATAATAATGAGAGTTTTTTAAAATGTCATGTCTAAAAGGTTAGACATGTTATTTGGTGTCTTTTTCAATTTTTAATTAAATTTAAAAAAAAAATTAAAAACAACGTCGAATCTCGTATGGTTATCACACGGAAACCAAAGACAATCACCCCTATGCAAACGTCCAGAAGAGCCCACACCGATAAAAGGTATTTATACCATTCACCACTCTGTGGTACAGGGTATTGCGCCTTTGTGTTTGTAACAGGCAAAAATAATCGAGATAGACCCATGGCTCTATTTGAGGATATGCATAGAATTGGCACGAAATTTTGCACAATGAACTATAGTCGGCCCCGTCCGACTTTACTACTTTCCTTACTGGTTTATTTATATATTTATTATGTTGGTCATTCTGTTTTGTTTTTTTAATATGTTGCTTTGGCTATATGCAGTTTGCAGAATATTGGAACATACACACCACCCGATATTCCGAATTTAAGGGATTAAGTCACATGTTTACATCGAATTGAGTACAATTTGTTATTTTGGTTTTAAAAGCTACGAGGCGAGAATTAAAAAAATGATCAATGTTAGTGAAATTGTATATAATTTGTTCTTTTTTGAGCCGAGTTGGCCTGTTTGTAATATTCAAGGGTGTATATTTCTCTCTAGATATGAGTGTCAATATAAATTCTTATATAAAGAAATGTTTCTACATCTAAATATGTTCAAGAATACAGGAATTCTTCCTGAAATCCTGTTAGTAATCCTCACTGATTTTTGTTATAAATGGTTTACTTATTTAATAAATTGTGAATTTCATATAAAAATGAAGAAACTTTATATATTGTATAATTATTCTTATTATTTCAAAAAATCACACCTCAATTTTTTCTCCAAAAATTTCCCAATTTATTAAATTAGAAGCAACGTCGAGGATTTTACTGACTTTATTTCTTAGATTGGTTATAATCAACTATAACAAGTAAATAAAAATAAAATCCCCCTTACTGCCAGAAAACAAACATCTGTTGATGAAGTATTCCATAAAAATTGGTTACGCCATGAGTCAGCGTCAAAATAGAAAAAAAAATGTGACAATGGTCATAACGTCCACAACAAAGCCAACAAGTGTAAATAAAAAATATAAAAACAAATATTTAGTTACTGAAGCGGTCTTTCTAATTCGTTTGTTTGACTACTACATAAGACCACTTATGATCGACATTGAACGGTTTGGCTATTGCGCTACACTAAATTCAAACCATATTCACATAAATTGTGTTTTTGAAAATTATCCTAAGGTAACTGATTAGGGCATGTTGGGATATCTGATATCTTATAAAATTTTGTTAAAACAAAAAACCCGTTAAAGTTATTACAAAATTTCCAAAAATATAAATAAATAATTTTTGAAGTTATTTATAATAAGATTTTAAAATTCTTTCATTACTATATCAGTGGAAGTATGGAAGTTTTAACATTTCTTTTGTAGGGTATTAGAAGACAATAGTGTTTATCTAACACTTCTTTGTGTGAAAGTAAATCATCAAGATAAGAGTTTTATCGCCTTTCCCAACGGTGACGTATCATCTAGCGCTCTGTTATTTTTTATTGAAAAAAATAGATCGCAAAATATAATCAAAACAAAACCAAAAAAAAGAACACAAACTTGACAAGTTTTCCAGAACTTTAAAATGTCTGTAATCACCTTGAAAAATAATGTACTAATTGTACATTCTTAAAGGAATTACATCTACTTCGTGTTTAAAACCTTAAAAATTTCTTAAATGTGTCAGGTTCTTCTTTATATAGTCATGTCAAAAGATGGTTCTACATCGAAAATCTTCTGGAAAGACGTTTACACCATAGAAGAACCCGAAAAGCCAAATTACAGCCTCTTCGGTTGAGGAATTCGACTAAAACTTTCATATTATCGGGTGGGACCTTTATATGGAGACTTTGTCGAAACATGGACCTATATTGACACATTTTTGCAAGATATGTGCAGAGGTATGACAATGTTCATATACTCCATTGCAGATCGAGGTGAAAGCAAGACTTTTACGTGTAAAAATTGTTAGAATTTGAAACACAAAATATTCTTTAGACCTATAAAATTTACTTAATTTATTCCGAAAATCTCCTATTCTACATCACATGACGTATCGTATAATAGTTTCCTTGCCCTTTCGTTCATTTTCAGCCGAAAGTAAAAATGTGATAACTTATTTAATTAAAACGAAATTGGCAGAGTTTTACAACTTACATTGTTTCGACTGGACGATAGACAACATGTCTGTTGGATTCACTTTCAAACTTTTAGTGGCTGATTTAACAGCGACGACGACGTCATCAACAACAACAGATGTTCCACATTTGCCACCATCAATGGACGGCGTACTGTGGCCATTGAGAATTGTTTGTACGCTTCGTGGTGCGTTTGTTAGAAAATTAACGATAAACTTTTCAAGGTCAGTTGAGCTTTTCGAAGCTATCTTTAAGATATGTGCAAGAGATTCATGAGGTATTATGGTAAACTTAAAATTAGGTTCAATTCTTATCGCTGGTAACGGATTCATAAGGTCAGTAGGGCATTGTTGAGAGGGTGGAACCGATGGCGTGGAATCGTTATCATCAGTATTTTGTTTCGCTTCACATATTTGTGCTGAGTACAGGTCTACAGTATCAGTATCTGCTCCCAGCTGACCACCAATTTTTGTAAAAAGTGGACACCATGCTACCGATAAATCCGGTGTTGTTTTTATGGTGGGTGAAGGTACAGCAGTCCTGCCCGGTTGCAGGAGAATAGTTTGTATGGTTAGCTTAGCTGGTAAGGGTTTTTGTGTCATTTGTTCTGTGGTTTTGATCGATTTACACTTGTTACGACATTTTCAAAATTATCTTCACCGACGACGACGGCGGAGCTCGTGCAGTGTCTTTCCGTTTATAGACCCGATTTTCAACTAAAACACTTTCGAGTTCAATTGTCAACAAATGGCTGTGAATTCGCCGCTTGTTTGTTGTTTGATTGGGGTTTTTCGTCTTCCTCCTCCACCTCTAATTACTGTTTTTGTGCTTTGCTATTTATTTTCCATGTGCGTCGACTTAGTCTCGGTTCTTAAAGCTGATCGTCATCGACACAATAGTCGTCATCATTATCAGTCGTCTTAGGCTGGCTGACTGGTTGGTCGTTGATTGATACGTTCGCGTTCTCTATCGCTCCCTCATTATGGGTGCAAACAAATATCTCATCACACTTTTTGGTTTATTTAATTACGTGACAGTGGTTTGATAATGGTAAGAAAAGGAAGGTATCTGCTTTGCTAGAGGAGGTGGTTATGTAGACGGTAGTTTATGCTTTCTTGCTATATATTACAAGTAAAATGGTATTTTTCTTCTGTATGAAAATGGTTTTACAATTCGTTTATATATCAAATAGTCGAAATTTTATTTATTATCAGTTTTGTAACAATCACTGTGGTATTTACCATTGCATTCGTCCATTATCTATCGGTAAGCGTTACCACCAATAAATTTTGCACATAATCAATGTTATTGCCAAAAAAGTGACGAATTGCTCTATTTTTGTTAATAGGAAATTATGATATTAATAGTTAAAAATATTGTGGAATGATTAAAATAATTTCTAAAAATTTTATCTCAACAAAAAAATTATTTTCTGAATAATGCTAAATTGTGATAGGAGACATATACAGAGGTGGTCATGTAATTAGCACGCAATCAGGTAAGTTTCAGAAAGTTATAATATTTATTTGAAATATTAAAAATATATATTTAATTATGGTCAAAAAATGGGATCTCTAGGGCATAGTGCGTTGGACGGACATTTTTCGAAAAAATTTCCCATTCTGGAAGTACATTGATAAACCGTTTGTATAAAACCGAGAAAATTATGTATGTAGGTATGTATTTGGAGCTAATTGAGGAACGGTGGCATATTTGGTATGCTGCAGCACAAAGCGCCGTCCACAAATTTATCTCGTGTATATGAAACAGACGTAGGCTCCTCGGTGAACCAATTACGTACAATTACATAAAATCGGACGAAAATATATATGTAAATCTGAACTGATTTTTCCAATTTCAATGGGGGTCGTCCTCGGGCCAAATGCACGATAACTCTCGAAGGGAGTAAACGATTTCATCCAAACTTTGCACATCGTAATATATTTTACTTAGTTCATGTTCGAAGATAGACTATGGATAAATCAAAATAATATTTGGATATAGTTATCATATATTATCAACCGATTTCATAATATTTGTACACTAAGGGCGATGCTACTGAATTGAGACTAAACTGTCATATGCTAAGTTTGATACAAATTGGTTTAAATCTAATTCTTAATGTCAATTAATTTAGATATAACTCTCATGAGTATTTCTTTTTTGCGCCAAAAAATGCAAATTGTGACTGATGACTAGGTATAGAAGAATATTTTTTTTTCAAATATATTAATATATGCAAATTTTCCAATTTTTACAGATATATGTGATCATTCATTACAATTATATTTAAAAATAAAAGACCCAAAAATTCAAATTCTACAATTATCTTTAATAAATGTATATATCTTATAAGAAATCTATATTTTAAAGATGCCACTTTGTTAAAGTGGTAATTTATTTTCGTTACTTATATATTTTCCCAAAAAACAGTTACATCTCTTGACGGCATTGGTCGTTAGTCTCTCTCTTTTACTGCATTACATTTCAAGGCAAAGGATTTAATGAATTTGCTGATGCCCCTGGGTATAAATGGGGCGTTATTAGGGCATTGTTCCCCCATTCGGTTTCCCTGTCCTTGAGAAATTAAAATTACAAACAATTAAATTTGAACAGACAACTGGAAAAATGGCCCAAAGAAGTAAATAATTTTTTTGTTATAATCCTTGGCAATCTTATCAGCACCAACAGATTTCAAATGGCGGGACAATATAAGCTGAGAAAAGCGAAAAAAACACACACAACCTTGGAGGAAGCCTAGGCAAGAGCAAGAAAATGAATGAAAACAAAAACAATGTCAAAATCTAATGAAATAATTTCAAATAAATGCCAGTGTAGACCACAGCTTTCGTTGACAAGAACCCGCTACAAAGTTTAGTTATTGCCACGAGAGAGAGAGAGAGGGTGGAGGAGGCGCGGTACAGTGAGTTCTTCCATTCGTTCAGTCGTTCGTTTGATGATGTGGTTTATGAGGTTTCTTTGGTTTAAAGTGACAAAAACTTTACCAAGAACTATTTATTTCAACACATACCCACACACACACACAAACAATCACATTTTAACCCCCCACATAGGTCATAGGTTCATCAAAAGAAAATATCCACACACACATACACTGACACGAAACAACCCGTGCAGCCTAAGCAGTCATTCATCATTTGACGTCGAGAAGATGTGCGAAAAGATGGGGGTATCAAAACTGGGAATCAGATCACAGATGTTACATGTTAGATGCCACAAATTGTGTTTGTATATGTTTGACTGTCATCATCTACTCGTTCTCCAAGCATATGTGATTGTTGCCACATATGAATGTATATGTGTGTCCATTGTCCTAAGATCTCCCCTTTTAAGCATTCAATTTAACAGTTTTTTTATTTTTTTAATAGCAGGTTTAGCGGGAGGCAATCGTGAACAGTGGTTAAAAATCGGAAAAACTCGCATGAGAAATTATTTCTATTGAAATTACAAAGTAAATCGTAATGTCCAAACTTTATGATCTCTTTAACGTATTTATTTCGAATGAAATTGTGATTACAACATATGGATAGGCGAAGATGCCTAACTGTAGGATATAGGATTATATCACGTAGTTACAAAATTAATATAACTATATATTATATGTTACAGGATATACAAATAATGTCGAATAATGACCAATTTGTTTCGAAATGTGGTTCAAATTTCATAAAACCGTTGTATGGTCATTGGTCATAACTTGAACCCATTTGTACTGTTTCAATATCAAATATCCACGAAGTTTATATATGACTGTGAAATGTTAAAATTCCATGTTAAAAATTTACGAGATGCACAGTGATTTTAGTGGAAAGACATGGAGAAATGATTATACGCATTACACTGTGCTAATGTAAATGAAATTGTAAACGATTTGTTTTTGTATTCTTACATCGACTTCAGCACTGCGTTTAGAGTGAGAAAACTAAGCCTGAAAATTAGAAAAATAATTTCTTATTGCTAGTGTGTGTGTCCTTGTTAAAGTGCGATATATCTATTTAGGGATGTAAGTGTGTTTAAATAATTTTTAGTGCACTGTAGGGTTATGACTTTTTGACCTCAAAAATTATTTCAAATAGTAGGAATGAACGAACTTTTGCCTATCAATAACTAAACTACGGTTTATTCTATATAATTATTTTAAAAGGCTCCACAAAATCCACTTCAAAATGTTATTTTTGTGAACAAAATAATTTTTTTTATATTTTTAATCTTATATACCCACAAAAAGCCACATAACTGATAAACAATATTCAATGAACATTTGACGTTTTTATTTAGAATTTAGAGTAGGTATCTTGTTTTGAGTCTCTGAACACCCCGAAAGAAAACATGGGGTGTTGTACCGCTTTTGTCGACAATTTTTGTCACATATCACCACATTTTCAACAACTTGTCTATCTTGTAATAAGAAAACAACATTGATTATGTTAACAGCCAACTGAGTACGGATATGCTTATCCTTATTGTACCCTTCACCACTCTGGGCATTATGTCTTTGTGCATATGCTTGTAACATGCAAAACGAAATGAGCTAGACCCATAGTTGATTTTGAGAATATGCATAGAATCATTTTTTGTGTTTTTCGCTCCAGCTCCAGCTCCCATATATATTTTCGCCCGATTTTAGGTAAACAGTGCAGGATACCGAATAGCTTGAGACACGCTTTTCTTTAAATCGATTTACATAATCGTATCCCAGTGTACGCAAACGACTCTAAATTTGCATGAATGAATTGACGTGAGTCGGTTCAAATATAGATAAAGATCACATATTTAAGTTCGTTCAATGTCATCTCAATGTTTCTTCGAAAAGGCGACGTTTGTTAGAATGTAGAATATACCCAAAGGGGTGAAGGGTATCATATAATGGGCCCAGTTCGACTTTAGTATTTTCGCTACTGACTTCTCTTCATTTTCTTTTATTAAAAATTAATTTGGCGGTAGAATGCAGACATTTTGTTAAGAACGATTAAATAAACATCTTTTAAAATATCAAAGGTAATTAATTATATTAATTTGTGAAGGAAAGGAACGGGCAAAAGAAATTATAAAAAATTTACTACAAATTATTGATTTACTACTGACCATGTCCTCATATGTGACGTTGTATTATTCTTCATTCTCAATGACAATAACATATTAAATGTCAATAGTTAATAGCAGTGTGTTGGGTAAGTAGGTCAGTATTACTGGTGACAATGCCAGTAGTAAGTCAGTAGCGATTTACTATCGGCACTTCCTACAGAAATTTTATGATTTTCTAAAAACTCATAAAAATATGACACTCGAATACGTGGTTGCAAAAAAGTCATAACCCCAGTGTACAGCCTTCGGTAGTCCTGCAGATATATGTGCATATAGATATATAGGAATGTGTTAACGAAGGGTAGCACAATCATACATTAGGGTGGTATAGACCAAATGTTAGTGTTATTATCGCGAACTAATCGATGTCATTCATTTGAAAATTGGTATTGAAATGATGGAGGAGGTTTCCTATAGTTATTATACCTTCCACCATAGCCTCCATTTATTTATATTCGAAT